GGTGGGGGCACTGGTGGGGACAGAGTGGGGACGGTGGTGGGAACAGTGGGGACAGTGGTGGTGAGGACAGTGGTGCTGGGGGGGGCTCGAACCGGTAGTGACCCCTCCCGGTCTTCCGGAGGGGGGGGTTCGAACCAGTAGTGACCCTTCCCGGTTTTCCGGAGGGGTGGGGGGTTCGAACCGGTAGTGATTCGAACCGGTAGTGACCCCCCTCGGTTTTCCAGAGGGTGGGGGGTTAGGGTGAGGGGGGTGGTTTGCCGGGGCGAGGGGGGGGGAGGGGGGGGGGTCCAGCAGGGGGGGGGGGAATTTCGGAGGGGGGGGACCCCCGGGCTACAGAGGAAGAGGGGGGGGAATTTTCAACAGGAAAGCGGCGGTGGATCACGTTCTCTCGGATATTTCGAGCCAGGATCCCTCCAGAGCTCTTAGCTTCCTAGGACATCCCTGGGCAGATGTAGATGCGAAGTTTGCTGCATGCAGCCACCAGGTTTCATCATATATGGTTACAGCAATGCGCTGCCAGCTCAAAGATGTGAAGCACGTGCGATGTCTTCTCCAGGGATGCCCAGCCTGTAGCGAGTCAGGCAAAAGGGTCAACTGCGGCCCCAAGGCGGAGGACATTCGTTCCGCCTCAACTCGCTTTGTTTTTCCACGATATTGAGGGCAGGTGGAGAGGGGGGGGGTCGTTGCACATGGTGCCATTGCTCGGCTAAGACTCGAGTGGGGGATCGATTGCATAGTCGGATTACCCCGGAATTGATTGTTCCGTCGAATCTGCGAAAATATAGCACGCGCAGTAGATCTAAAGCAATTGTGTAGTCGATCCCCTACTCGAAAGACGGCTCTGCCTCTCTCTCTCTCTCTCTCTCTCTCTCTCTTTTTCGCTCTCTCTCTCTCTATCTCTCTCTCTTTCTCTTTCTCAGCCCACTTCATATGCGTCAGACATTAAGTGGGGCCCCTCAACACTCACCCACACTCTCTGCATCTCAACAGCTTCTGATTGGAGAACGAGGGCCGTGCACCGCCTGTGTGTGGAGGTGCTGCTGACGTTCGTGACTACGACTTGCGACTCCAGCTGATTGGATACAACCCGTGCAGCCTGGTACAAACGAGGCGCCTCATGGAGATCAGCGAGGCCATGAAGAGTGCAGCGTTCATCGCTATGTGCGGCACGCGTCTGAGGGCCACTCTTGGTGCAGCTGTCTGGTCGCAGAATCAAGGCATTCATCAGTTGGTGCATTTCGGATATGGACGCGGTCCTTTCACAAATCGTTGCGCTGGAGTGTTTATGGGTATACATAAGAGTTGGCATGTTCAGGGGAAGGTCAATCGCACAGATGTCCCACCTGATGTTGCCCTCGGACGCGGCGGCTTGACCCGCATCATTACGAAGAATTCGGACATCGCCATCATTGTGCTCTATTTTCCTCCGTCGGCCGTGAGCCGTGCTGCTGTGTCTTGGAAGAAGACTATTGATGTACTATTGCAGTGGCAGGATTCTGAGCTGTCGGCCCTAGCTTGTCGCTCCACACCGCTCATTTATACTGGCTCAAACGGTTATTTTTCCTTCGAGGAGGGCTACCGGGGCTATGCCTTAGGTGACTACACCCGCCCTCGGATGGGCTATGGTGGACGTGTTTTTCGCGAGCTGCTCGACCGTCACATCCTGTATTGCCCTGACACATTCTGTTCGACGGCGCCCACCTACTACAACGGTGAGCATTCTAGCTACATTGACCACACTGCCATCCCTGTGGGTCTGCGTTCGCGCGTCTCCCGGTGCATGCCTATGACGCGACTGGGCCGACGCCTCCAATTCGCTCCTGGCAAAGGGAAGCTTGTAGATCACGGGCCCATTCTTTTTGCTATTGATTTGGTGCTGCCGTCCATCTCACCTTGTTCGCGTGTACGCTGAGATCAAGATGAATTGGCGATTGCATTACAGACCCCTGG